ATTTTGAGGTACAGGTACCATTTTACCACCAGTTGGCCAAAGTACAATTAAGTTTACAGTCAGGCAGCAACAAAAAATGTGGAAAAAGCAATTTAGTTGTAAAAGACAATAAAATAGTATAGAATGTGTGTTGTTGTTGTTTTGTTTTAAAAAGGCAAAACAGGATAAAAAGTTATAAGACCAAAGTTTACGATAAAATAAATCAAAAACACAGTCATGACTTGACATGCCGACCCCTTAACAATCCGAAAACCTTGCTATCCAACAGGTTTTTAGGAAAAACGAACAGAACCCAGGAAAAATAGCCTTAAAATACCGACAGCCTTGGAGTCCGACTCCGACATCACATTGTATGTCACAAACCAGGATAACAGCGTATTATCTGACTTAGCAATCTGACAGGTTGACTCCGTTCAGGCTGTAGGACTTAATGCTCAATTTGGATTTTTTTGTGAAATCCGTTTTTTTGTGAGTTCGTTCACATTTCCAGTTAAATGCGACATGTTTGTGATCTGCTGTGTGAACTTCATACGACCAAAAAGTGTCCCGCATGCACAGGACGACGTCACACGCAGTGAGCATGCTCAGTGTTTATGGAGGTAAACATGGATGGTAATGGTGGAGCGTATCTGCCACTCCCCCGCCGCCACCGATGGTGGAAACAGAACTGTGACCGCTGTCCTAAACTGGCATCAGCAGCCAAGTACTGCCTGTGCGTTCCGGGCACTTCCACCCCGTGGAAGTCCATTCTGTGGAAGTGGCCCCCCGACTGCGCCGAATACTCTGATATTCATCATGAATTGGGCCTGAACATCCAGAGATCAGAAAGTGCTTTTCGGACCAGCCCTAGTTTGTTGTGTATCAATGACGTGTAGGTCAGATAAATACGACCTGGCTGTTCAGACAGAAGATGCATGGCAAAAGATCAGATACCTGTTGGATTTAGGACCATCCATCCATCCATCCATTATCTATACACCGCTTAATCCTCACTAGGGTCATGGGGGGCTGGAGTCTATCCCAGCTGACTCAGGGTGAAGNGAAAGAGAATATTTTTAGAAACAAAACAATTTCTTTTTAATTTTCTTCCTAATTTCTGTACCTTTTTGCTTAAAACATAACAAAAATAGCCGATGAGCCTTCCACTAAAGCTGCAGATGGAAAGCAGTAGATGTATAAGTGGAGTCACAGCATTGCTGGAATACGTTAAAGAAACTGACTGACTTCTACGCTGAAAACTTCAGTTTTTCTTCCATTTCCTACCAGCAGTTGTTGGTTTTCAATCTGAGATGGTCAGAGCATCAGAAATTCAGTTTTAGAGCGCTCAGAGCACAAATTTAACAATTCCTTTTGCTTATTTACCTTTTTTTTCTGTATTGGGAGCAATACAAGATTTTTTTCTACTTTTCTAAGTAAAATTGAAAATATCACATAGTAGAAATAAAGTCCTGCCGTCATTATTTGTGAAATAAGAAGCGAAAGAGAATATT